ATACATACATACATACATACATACATACATACACACATACATAGACAACTGCTGGCACATGATGGCACAACTGGTGGTAGTCTGAAATGCACTTGGATGTATTTAGTTTAGGTTGTCCAGATGTTGTCCTCGACTCTGGTTTGTGAAGCTTGTCAAAGGCCTTTTGTCTGCAGCTACATGTCTACTCTTACCTGAACCCCATGGAAATGTTTGCAGACATTGGATGGCGGTCTGAACGTGATCCAGTTGGAGACAGCTGTGGGTGCTGCCATCAAGAGCTTTAACAATGCCATGGGTGTGAACGTCCCCCGCAGCCGCTTCTTGCCAGTGAAGACATCGTCCGATCTGCTGCTTGTGATGTCAAACCTGTACAGCCTGGACGCTGGCTCTCTGACCATGAGCAAGAAGAGAGAGTTCCAAACAACACCCCATGTCAAGCTGGGCAGCAGCTTCACCAAGGTCTGTAAACACCACCACCACCATCTGTCCAAGAGGAAACTACCTTTTCCCCAATGATAACACAATAACCTCAGACACATAATTAGTTCCTTTGCATTCACCTTAAGTGTTTTTGCAAATAGCCAGTAAACTGTATCTGTTGTTCTCTTAACTATGTAGAGATTGGTAAATGTTTTGATCTACTGAAGTAAATGATATAGATCGGAGCTTGAGCGTTTGTTTAGTGTACCACAACAATAAGTCATGGATGACAATAAATATCAAAAGTATAATTAGCGTCCTGAGACCCAAGCTTTTATTTGGTGTGCATTTTTGCTTTTGAAATGCAATGTCCTCATATGAGGACGCAGGAGGTTAGACAAAGAACCAATCATCAGCACCAATGAGCCTCACTGATTAACCTTTTTATCTGAAGGTTTGTAGTTTTAATGTTGACACTATTTTAAAAAAATAATTTGTCTTGTTTTGTAGAAACATTTTTTTTACATTCTATTTTGCTTGTTGGCATGATTCCATTTTTCCTAAAAATGATTATTTACCCTTCGTTTATCCTTAATTTTTATCCTTTTGGCTCATGACTACTGTGTAGGCTGTAGGTTCCGATACATTCTGCCAAAATGCAAGACTAAAAGTTATAAACATTATTTCGTCCCAGCTGCCGTTGCCTTGCTTAGTAGTTTTACTTTGCTTTTATTGACCATTGTCCCTTTGCTGCTATTTTATTTGGTTTTGCTTGGTTGATGCTCTTCTGCAAGATTGAATGACTGCTTGCTGCAGACCAAATAATAATGAAGATATCTTGAACCTTGACGGATAAATACTTGTCAACAAGGGAAGCATCAGCTCATGATGGTCTGCAAAAGCTGACAAACTGTCCCACTTAGACGTGGCTTGTCAGGGATGTTATGTTATTGCTCTAGAATCGGTGCCGCAATGACCCTGTGTCTTTATCTACTATTTGTTTTCCAGGTTCAGGAGTTTCTGGCCAGGTTTGAAAACATCCCAGACATGTTGGAGCTTGATCACCTCACTGTATCTGGAGATGTTACCTTTGGAAAAAACGTATCACTAAAGGTAAATGCCTATTAGATGAGACATAAAGATCTGAAATATTCTTGGAAGGCAGTTTTACATTTTCTAAAAATAAACAAGATATTCACATTTTTATAGGCTAAGAGGCTGAGCTTCGTGCACTTGTGCTATAAAGAGAGAAATAATCCAAACTGTATTCTAAGGTGAAATCAGACATCACGCAGGCACTGCCATCTGGTAATTGTCACTCCAGATTGATTTTCGTAAAGGTTTTGGTGGCTTTAGTGGCCTTTATTTGAAATTGGCATGGTAGGAAAGGGGATAGAAAGAGAGGAGACACACAGGTAAAGGCCATGAACTGGTATAAAACCCTGGCTATCCCTCATGTGACAATAGAGCTTCGATATATGGGCCAGATCCTAAAACCATTCATTTGATAACTTTGAAAATAAAATGGGTCAGTAGTAGCATATATTCATATAAACTCAGTTATCACACAACAATGGTAAACAGAATTGGCAGGAAGAAATTGTGCTGAATATTTGTCACAGCATGTGACAGCTGTGCAGATACTTTTACATTCAAGTTGCATCAATTTATGTCCGGCATTTAATGGTTACACAGATAAAATGTTCAAATGAAAATATTTGATCGTTCCTCAGCAAAAAAACCCGCTTACTTTTGTCTTTTCAGCACAACCTTCCCCAGGAATCAAAAGTACTTATGTATAATCTCATTTGTGTGAAAAGACCATTCTTAAGCATTTCAAGTTATCATTTAAATCTCTTGCTCTCACCAGGGAACTGTCATCATCATTGCAAATCACGGTGACCGGATCGATATTCCAGCCGGAGCGATGCTGGAGAACAAGATTGTCTCAGGAAACCTGCGGATCCTTGATCACTGAGTTATCAAGGATCGTAGAAAAGGAGGACAGCACACACGGCCATATGCACCTTGAAGAAACTGGGAATTGAGATTTCTGATTGACATTCGATTCAATTCAATTCAATTTTATCTACATAGCACCAAATCACAACAACAGTTATCTCACAGCGCTTTCCAAACAGACCATAACTGTCATTGTGTAATCAGTTTGTTTCAAAGAGTAATTTAAGTTACTCTGTACACATCTGAGTGTTACTGCACAATCACACCATAGTCCCAACATACAGATTCTTATTCTCATCAATAAAGGGCATTTTGGATCAAGTTTCCTATGGTTTGTCTGTAAATCCAAAACAAATTAAACTATTTTGTATGTATTTTAGGTTTAGTAATATTTCCTTACGGGAAGTGGCTCAGATTGATTGCAAAAAAAATAAAAAATAATCCAATTGGGTTTCCTTTGTTCCACTTTAAACAAAAGCAGTATATTTGATGGGGTTGGAGTAGAGTTTGGTTATTTTTGCCCCCTTGTCAAGCATTATGACACAGAGGATGGTTCTCTGACGGCTAAACACATTTACTTTTCCAAGGGAAGTTTTATACCACATACTATAACACTTCTCTTCTTGCGCAACTCTTGGTTATTTATCTAATGCTGTAAGAGGGTTATGTACAATCTTATGCCAAACATAACAGGGGTAGGTGGGGCAGGGGCTAACAGAGTAAAAAAGAACAGAAATGGAAGAAAAAGGAATATGGGGGGGCGAGGGGCATCGAATAAGACGGTTGATACTCGCATACAAACTAAGGAGCAGCACAGCTAATATGTTACGATCCCTAAAGAGTGTCTTACACAAAATCTGGTCACTGACTGGTGCAGATGGCCGCTGCCATTCCCCTCCAGGGACCAGACGCAAGCAGAGAGGTCTTCAATACCGCGGACACCAGGAGCCCAACAGAGCACAGAAGTCAGACAACCTACCACAGGGATACCACACACCACCCAGACGAAAGCAGGGCAGGAGGGATAGAACCACTGCTGCCATAAAACCAGCCCTGAATACCCAATCACCCCCCATACCCCAAGCACCACGAAACCACAGCCAGCCAGTTGGGAGAGTTCAATCTAGCCACAGCCCATTTTGCTCCCAATAAGCAGGAAAACAACCCACCCATCCTTCTGTGATACCACAATGTTGATTAGAAAGAGGAGGTGAGGAGATGTGGAAAGCCCCCCACTGCTGGCAAACAGCAGAGCCCTTTCACACACACCCCAACCAAACAAGGTTCCTAAGTGTCAAACAAGGCCATTGGCCACTCCAATCAACAGGTAGTTAACTGCCTCCTAACGTTAATCGTGTTAAGTGGACTTACACTAGTTAGCACAATGAATGTGATTGTATTAGCAAGAGATACCTGTGGGTTCTGGAGGCAAAGTAATATATGATTAGCATAAAAGCAACAATATTGTATGGGATGTGTCTGATATCTCTGCTTTGTCTAATGGCAATGGCTAGAATCTGAATTGTTATTAGTATAATTGCAAAGAGTAAAGTGGAGAGTGGACATCCTTGTCTGGTACCTCTGCGCATACTGAAGGTTGGCTAAGTTTTATCATTAGTCTGGACACAGTCCTTGGAGAACTATGCAATATTACCATCCAGTTTTTATAAGGATGGAGAACTTTAAACCCAAAGGTTTTTTAAGATTGCTAACAGGAATTTAAATGTTTGTTTCCACATTTTCAAGAGAGCAAGGTTGAGGTTGATTAGTGCTTAAGGAAAACTGTCTTCCTTTTATTAGAACCAGATGATCAAGATGTCTTCAAAGAGCTTTTATTATTTCCAGTCTTCAGGCAAGAGTTTTTTAGAATATTTCGAGAGATAGATGGGTTATTATTGGGTCTTTTCCTGGTTTCCGGCGCAACACAATATTACCAGTGTTAATATTTGACAGCAGTTTGTTCCTCTTGATTTCTGATAACATTTTATGGAATGTGTGTGCCAGTATAGTTCAGAATTCTTTGTATAACTCGTTAGAAAAAACATCTGGTCCTGTGGCTTTACTACTGGACGAATGGCTTTGTCGAGTTAAGCCTGTTGAAAGAGAGAACTCCAGGTTTGACCTGTTCATGCTGTCATTTTGGGAAATTGACATCCATAAGAAATTCATTTCTGGCCGACTTTTTCTTTTTGTGCCATGAACAGACCGACAAGGTGTTTTGATCATCCTGTTTTATTCGCAGAGGGTTTATGAACTCAACATCTGCTGGACACTCATCCATGCTACTCGACTCATTCGTTCACACACATATGCGGCATAGTACACTGTTGTGGGAGAACTCAAAGGTTGTAATCTCTGATAGCAGATCAAAAGTAGGCACTTCTGAAGCAGACAGTGATGAGTGTTAATGCTTTCTGTTCTCAGTTTGAATCTCTTTCAGGAGATGCCAGCTTTCACATTATGTTCAACTGCCTTCCAACCACCCAACTGAACGCCTCCATAGATTCGTATAAGATTTCAATAATACTGTCAACATATTAAGATTCAGGGCTTTATCTCAGAATGAGAAGTTTAAAAAAAAATCGTATGGCCAGGACAGTTATGTTGACAAAATCAAGCAGCCGTTTTCCTTTTAAACTTTGATTATACACAAAGAGAAAAGCTGGGTGGTTGGAGGAAACCAAGTCACCGCAAATTTCTGGGCATTAAATGCTTGATACAATCACCTCACAACCTGCAGTGAACATGTTGCAACAGAAACTGTAGTGACTCCATTCTTGGTGATCTTAACCACTCAAATTGACCTCTGATATTAGAAGGAAACAGACATGGTTGTTGACAGCTGTGAAATGCTCCATTCCCCAAGACTGCACTAATGTCTGTAATAATATGATTTGTTATAACTTTAGGTGATCGAATATAAGCAGCAGATAAAAAAAGCAGCATGTCCTAGAAAATGGTCTAATAGGCCATCCACGGTAGTTCTAATCAGCAGTTTCATTTAACTCCACAGTACACTCACTTATGAACCTTGTAGTGAAATCTCATGCATGTCAGAAAAATTGTTGTCTTAGAGTTAAAATTGCTCTTCTAGGACATTTACTGCGATAGCCACGAAGCTCTGGTGAATTTAACCAAGTTAAACAATCGTTTAATAATTGGCCAATAAACAACAAGGTACGAAAACTTGGTTTTTCGCTTGCCTCTTCATTATCATGCTCTGACACAGGACAGCTTCCGTACTGGAATTAAGAAGAATGAGGATGTTTGACTCAATGCTGTGTGGTCGAATAGTTGTCGAGTTGTAGGACCAAAATTCACCACATGAAAAATAGAAGTAAAGCTGCTCGATTTCCTTCTTTAAAAAAAATGCTCTCCAGCAGAAGGTGAAGCCGACAGCTGCTACAGTCAGCTGTCAAACCCCAACGTTTTTTAACAGGAACAAAACTGTCTTAAAAAAAAAAAAAAAAATCCCCTCAAATTACCCAGTTGATCCTCACAGCAACTGTATCTGAATATCAGTCAGTTAGACACGGTACATGATTGGTTAAACAGCAGAAATCCCAAATAAAAAGCCGTTTTACTTTGGTAAAAGAGGATGCGATGCCTTCACAGTCTGGATTTCGATTCAATTCTGAATGAAGGTCTGCCCCACAGAACATATCCAGAAGAGATGTTTGTTTTACATATAAAAAGGTAAGAAAATCCTGTCAAATAACAGGCTGCTGGAGGAAAAGTCAATCACAAAATACAATGTTTGCAAGAAGACAGAAAAATAAATTAACCCATTGTTTTGTCATTATTATCCCCGTCCAACTCCCACTAAAGCGTTCCAATAATTTACTAGTATTTCTGTTGAATTGCACACAGTGAGATAAGGTGGCAGCAGGTTTAAGGAGGCTCCCAGTGTCTCAGTCTTTGAAACTGCTGAAGTTCCAGCATGCTGCTGCTCCTCCCGGTTCTGTGGTTTTTGGTCCCTTCGGCCCTCCGTCCTCCTCAGCCAGGTCGTCGTCGGCCGCCGGGGTCAGCCCCTTTCCCAGAAAGGCGAGTCGGGTCGGTCAATCTGGATGCCCAGACCTCGTCGGCCATCACCTCTTGTGCTCCCAGATCTCGGCCATGTTCAGGTCGAGCTGCTCGAGGCTCTTCAGCACCTGGATGTTCTCCGTGTAGAAAGCGACGTCCACAACGACGAGTCTGCAAAAAGCAAGCTTCGATGTTGACACCTTGCAGATGCTCCAAAAATTGAGTGGGAACTTGGTTCTGCTAGGTATAGTGTGTAACGTCTATCCCTTAAACACAGCTCAAGTTGCCCCTATGGCCTATATAGGAACCTACGTTTTACATGTAACGCATCAAACTAAATAGTAACTTCTTTTTAACATCTAAAAAATAAGTTGATGTTTTTTAGTCAAGCTAAAAATGTATTGCAGATGACCTGTCGAATAGTTTGTTTTACAGTTACCCGTGTTGTGGGCCGCCATCGTTAACAACGCCGAGTCGAGCCAGCTGCCTCTTGAGGTGCATTTTAAAACTGGCGTTGATCCTCAGAAACAGCATCTGGGCAGAAAACAGTTAGTGGTGTTGACATCGAAGGGTGGATTGTTTTGAAAAGAACAGCTGACGTGATCTAGAGTAAATCCCCGGTCGGTTTAATGCTGAGTGCGAATAGATTCACCTGCGTCTGCTCTTCAGGTAGAAGGTCATAAATAGCTTCATGCATCTTCGCCATCTGCTTACACACATTTCTAAAACAGGCTGATGGCATTGGAGCCTTTACTTCATACTGCAGAAAAAAAAAAAACATACTTCAATCCCAAATTAATATTCACATGAATATATATACTATTAATTATCCAGTGCAAAAGGCATAAAGGGATCGAGGATGCATTTGATAAGAACTAGTCAGCTGGTAGCCTTAAGGGAGTGTGGAGCATTTCTGGAAGGTTGCAGATTTGTAGTGACTGGTTTCAAATAACCACAAAAACAGGTGTAAAGGAGGTATAACACAACAGATAAACAACTTCATGAATAGCAAATGAACAAAAAAAGGGGGGAAGATCTCCCATTATTGTTTTCATTTAGTAAAGTTGTAACTAGCAAAAGTTTTTTTAAAAAGCCCTTGTAAGAAATCTTGTTGGCAACTCTGCACATCAAGTTCCCAGTAAAGACGGTCGAATAGTCAGAGCACATTAAGCACATTATTTTATCTTTTTTTTTTAACAATACGAAGCAAATATAGGAAGTCTTTTAGGGCAAACCATACTCAGGGAGCCTGCACCTCTGCATATGCAGTGGCTTCAAAAACCTTCGTCTCAAAGGACATTCTTCATAATAAGTAAAATTATAAAACTACTTCATATTCTTAAAAAACGTGCCTCTTGCATTCCCATCTCATCGACGAATCCAGCACATTAGCTTATTCATTACAAGCTTGCGCATTGACTTTACGTCACACCGTACGGACCGTACAAACTGACAGATAATCCCATCTGATCAAAATGTTATCAGAGCACTGTTGGTACATATCTCCATATTTTCTGGGAGTGTCCCCATGTGTATGGCTTCTGGTCCAAGGTGCATAGTTGCATTGACAATTTAGGATTTCCCATTCCTATGCGCCTCCCTCTACTTCTATTCAATGTCAACTCCATTCTTAGTCGTTATACCAGATGGGCTCAGAGGAGTTATTCGCAAGACTGACTGCTGCTAAGAAGACTATAACACTCTCATGGTTTCTGGACATCCCTTTGGCAAAAAAAAAAAGGCTAAATCACTTTAGAGACATTGCTATTTTAGAAAGTTTTTCAGTTTACTTGTTTACATGATGAGTAGAGTGTGTGTATTTTCTTTCTCTTAAAAAATCTTTAGCGGAGAGACAATGTCACTGTTTTTGTAATATGATGTTTAAACTGTTCAATAAGAAGTTTATCACAAAAAAAAAAAGAAAAACACAAAAAAAAAAAATCTCTTGGCGAGTCTTGGTTTGGCTGTGCCTGATCCATTATGTGTGTTCTATCATACTACATGAAATGAGAGCAGATGGAGTGGAGAAGAAAATCATGTAAAGGGTTAGATTAGACAGAATGCAAATTCTTCGTAATCTAAATGCAATTATTATAATATTTTGGATGGTATCTCTGACGCGCAGCAAGACGGCATTTTTTATGTTAAATGGTGCTGTATGAGGGTGCTTTTCATGCAAAGTAATTCTTTAACTGAAAAAAAAAACAACAGATGGTAGTTTTGAGCAGTTTATAAGAAGTTTCAGAAATACTGGTTCTGATCTTACCTTTGATAAAACCTTTTCAAACAAACTGTCCATTATGGCCACCAGCTTAGCTGAAATCTCTGCTATGTGATCATTGTAATCCTGCAAACCAGCAAACAGCTTGAGGCAGAGGATTTTAAACATGTTTTTCTCATACAATGCACGGTATTGTGAGGGTTTCCTAATCATTCGTGTTCCTGCTGACGTTACCTTGGTGATGTGGTCAAAGTGTCTGAGGACGCAGAACTGTTTGGGATGCAGTTTCGTCTCAAAATGTGCTCTGATGATGGGAATGAATTGAACGACCAGCTGCAGACAACGGGAAGCTAATGCTACCCACGTGCACAGAGAACAGGTTTCAGACGCACTCATCGGACAGCCAGGTGGCAAAGTGCAGTGGGGAAAGAAAAACACGAATGTTTACCCAGGTTTTTAGTGGTGATGGTCTTTAGGCCAACGACCTGCAGAGCTCCAGCTCCAAGAACCAGCTGGCAACAGCGAGAGTTGAAGTGCTGGAGAAGAACAGAAACAATTCACTGACTGAAAACACACTGTGACTGCATGTTTTTTAATGTTTACCAGCATCTCTCCCTGTGCTCGGATGAGGTGTTTTACCTTGAGGAGGTCCGACAGACGTGTCAGTATGTCGGTGGCGATGGACGGGATGTCGTTCACACACTGACAGTAGTCCAGAATGATCCGGATCAGCATCAGAACCGTCCTAAAGAAACAAAGAACCCTCTCAAAAGACATATATCGAAATAATTTTTCCGGGTCACTTTAGATATTTGGACTTTGACAGATTATAAAGGGTGACCAAAAAATGTTTTTAAAAAAAGAGGCGAAACATTTAAAATGATGGAAGATATTGCACCATCCACCGGTGTTCATGTCCCACCCAAACCTACCCAGCAACAGCGTATTTCTGTCCACTGACAAGCAGAAACTCTGCAGGCTTTCTTTCTTCTGCACCTGCGGGAGAAGGTTTTCTATGTTAGAGCAGAATCCTGACTGTGTTTATTTATGTGCAACATGAGTGCTTTTGATTGAATTTCAGAGGCATCAACAAAAGATGAAAAACTGGACACATAAGTACTGTTCTCTTGATTTCTTCATGATGTTTTGATAAAGCTGGTGAGCAAAATATTACTGAGAATAATGTATGGAACTGTCTCTCTTCATCTGTCCTGACAGAAAAAAGGTTTTTAATCTTATCCGATTGTATCTGTGACTAAGCCTAATAACTGTAACTGTTCATTTTATGTACATTAATTTGTGCATTAAATGTGTTTTTTCATATCAGTAAGTCAGTCTAAAGCAACAGATGGTAGTGTGAACTATCCATACCACCGCATTTTCAGTGCCCTTCAGGAAAAGGGATTTTCTTTATGCCTAATTTAGTTAAGCGACTTGAAAGGTCTACAATGCTGAGGGTGGAAACTAAAATAGCTATTGCTTGTATCTACCTGAGGTTTTGAAGTTTTGCAGCACAATTTTGCCATCAGCCATGGACTTTAACAGATCCTGAAATTCTGCCGGAACCTCTGCCTGCTTCCAGCGCTCATTATCAAGAAGAAGGCTTCGGGGACACAAAGCAACACAAGCATTAGGACACACAAAACCACCTAAAACACCACCAGTGACTTGAAAAGAGTTCCACAAGTTCAACATTAAAACAAGAGGCTCGTTTCTCATAGTAAAAGCATTCTTCGTGTCACATGCATGAAAAATTACAACATGCAAGTTGCCTTTCGTTGGATTAATAAAGTTTCCAAGTATCACTCTAAAAATTGATTAATATACAGTGGGGGAAATAAGTATTTGACCCCTTGCTGATTTTGCAGGTTTGCCCACTTACAAAGAATGCAACGATCTATAACTTTAATCATATGTACATTCTAACAGTGAAAGACATAATCCCAAAGAAAATTCCAGAAAATCACATTATATGAATTTATAAAAATTGATAACCATCTGATGAGGAAAAATAAGCATTCTTTGTAAGTGGGCATACCTGCAAAATCAGCAAGGGGTCAAATACTTATTTCTCCCACTGTAAAAATATAATTTCCATAAGAAGGAAGGTGAATTTTTACAACTCTGTTGCCATAAAACATGTTAGTTAGAGCACTAAAGTGAAAGTGCTGGTAGGTTTACAACAGTGACTGATCTGATCATCAGGGTACCTCAGTTTGGTCTTGCGTTCCTCGTGGAAGCGGTGAACGAAACGGTTGGCCTGGGTCTGCAGCGCCCCCCTCAGGGAGACACTTCGCCTGCCACACAGCTCCTCTGTGTCTCGGACAAAACCTTCCACTGCCCGTGACAGACACACAAACTCCGCCGAACTTAGGCGCTCCAGCGAGCCGTCCTGTGGGAAGTAGAGATTAACCTGCGTATTAGTGGCATGAAATAAAATCAGCAAAAAACACCGCTGTTTGTACATTCAAACTACATATATATTAGCTCTTAGATCATATTAAGCTTTATTGGAGCCTTTTAATCTCTCCAAAAGGGAACAAAGTTTATTCTAATCTCTTTCATATTAACAAATCCATTTTTATTATTTTTTTGCAAGGAAAATAAACAAGGTCAATAACACCTTGGCTCTGGCTGTGAGGACCTTCACACATCGATCGTGGCCGACATCAGAGGCAACGTATAGCAGCTCCTGGATGTTATTTATGACACAGTTCAGCTCTAACTCAGAAGGATTCATGTTGTCACAAGTCCTAAAAACAAACAACCTGTGTTAAAAAGTGACTGAAATTAGCGTTTACACACAGACACACGCATGTGTACGTACGTATATACATTCATATATATATATATATATATATATATATATATATATATATATATATACACACACACACATAAAACTTGCATGAATGCCTTTGTTTAAAATCTGTTTCTCACTGGCAATGACTACACACACATTTTCATACCTCACAGAAGGGATTGGAAAATGATCGCTACTGGCTCTTGATGGTTATCAACCAATCAAAGCCTTTTTATTAAGTTCACTCACTTTCTACAGAAAATAGCTAAGGAGGACAGAACGGAGAAAAAGTACCGAACCGTTCCAAGTACAGTACATTTCATTTGATCTCAAAACTCTTCCTGATAGCAGGATGGATAGAAACAAATTCATCTCGAAAGCTTTGCGATGTTGAAGTTCCTTATTTTAGTATTTTCAGTCTGAAATATAATCTAAATTTAAAATGTGCTTTTATTGCCTTAACAGCTGTAACTTTAAGTTCGGGTTTATATTTGATTTGAAATTATGTGATTTAAAATTATGTGATTTGATTATGTTCGGCTCCACATTTCTTAGAAATTTGTTCCAATGTTTACGTAAAATGTTATTGAGCTATTTCATAAAACAGTACCTTAAAATGTGGTATTCACTGCTATATATCTATCAAATCGTGCGTAATAATGATGATTTATTGAAATTAATAAAAGGCCATGTATTCATCTATCTATCTATCTATCTATCTATCTATCTATCTATCTATCTATC